TGCCAAGGAGTGGAGGGGACTCGCTCCCTGCAGCTAGGGCTATGTGGGGAGTCCAGCAGTCGGTCACCCCAGGCAAGCACCACCTGTCCTGAATGCCACCCTGAGGGACCAGTGGAGGTGGTGAGGTCTGGTCTGCAGGTGCCACCCAACTCCCCAGGGACCCCATTGCTGATAAGGGTATGGGGACAGGACAGCTGGGTCTTGTTCTGGAGGGGCTAGGATAGATCCTGAGAGTCCCTAGCCTGAAAAGCCTAAAGTAGGGACCCTGCCTGGAGTAGGGGCTCGTGGAGTCAAGCCTGAGGAGATGCAAGGCCCCTGTGAGCCCGCGTGGGGACTGCTGAGGTCGACAAGGTCACCCTTGGCCTAGAGCCCTGTCTCCTGCACCGTGGGTCACCCCAATGCTGCAGGCCTGGCCTCTTGGTCCTTCACAGGGGGGCTCAGACGCAGTCACCAATAGAGCCCACCTAAGAGCAGGGGTCCAAGTGGAGCCCACGAGCCCGGGACCCACACCCTGTCCCTGTGTGAATGACAGCTGAAGGGGACCAGGACAAGCTGGACTCCTCTCCGGCAGTTGTGTCTCAGTACTTGAGGATGCACCAGGCAGGTGTGAGCAGAGAGGGACAGGAAGCACCGAACAGGGGCTGCTGCCCCACACTCCCACCCTGCCCAGGGCATGGTGCGCCCAGGCTGGGGGGGGCCTACGCGCACCCCCCAGCAAACGGATAGCACTGCAGAGATTTAGACATTGGCACAGTGGCGAGTGAGTGGTGCGCACCTGGGACACAGCACTCTGGGATCGAAAGTTCAAGCCCAGCCTGGGTAATGGAGCAACCCAGCCAGATGGCATCAGAAAAATGCTTAAAAGGAGGGCAGGGTCGGGCCTGGCACGCAGCTTGGGGCCAAGGCCTGGGCTCCATCCCAGCATGGAGGAGAACAGCAGGAACCAGCATGGTGACTCCGAACTGAGAAACAGCTGCTGGAGAAGTGTGCAAGTGTGTGTGTGCACATGCGCACACGGAGGACACACGAGTGTGTGTGCGTGTGCATGAATGTGTGCATGCTTCATGGTCCTGAGCCCAGAAACAGAAGGACTGAGAAGGGGCAAGTGCAGACCAGGACCAGGCTGAGAGGGGAGCCCCGGCCCACCCAGCCTCGCTGCGGCCCACCTGCTGCAGCCGGACGCTCCCTGAGCTCCCGGAGGCGCCTTCATCCCCTCTCCTGAGGGTGAGGCAGTCAGGCCGGCATCGGGGCAGGCGTCTCTGGTCTTCATCCTGCTCCCTGGCCCACAGCTGCTGCCATCCTTCAAGCTACAAAGCCCAGTGTCTTCAGGCCCCTGGCAGCTTCGGAGTGGGGCCGAGGTCCCCAGAGAGGCCTGGGCAAGAGAAGAGGGCTGAGGCCATGGGATTGGCTCTCTGACCTCCATGGAGGGGAGAGGGGGAGACGGATAATTGGTCACCTTTGGGCAATAATTCAGTCAGTCAGGCTCGAAGTCTCCATAAAAAGCAAAAGGGTGAGTGGGGCATGGTGGCACATACCTGTAATCCTAGCAATCAGGAGGCTGAGGCAGGAGGATTGCTATGAGTTCAAGGCCATCCTGGGCTGCATAGTGAGTCCCTGTCTCAAAAAACAAATTAATTAATTAATCATTTAATTAAGATAAAGGAGGCCCCGAAGGGTGCCGGGTGCCAGGCCCCTGGCCACACTGGGTAAGTTTCTGGCTCTCTTCTCTGCGCCTGTCTCAAGCTGGATTCTGAGGCAGCAGCGGCCATGGTGGGTCTGTGGGGACTCGGGGTGCCAGGGCCCCAACCTAGGGCTCAGGTCATGGGCAGATGTTACTGGAATTGGCAGGACATAGAGACTGGTGATGGCCCAGTGCATGGGGACGTACCGCCTACCTCGTCATCACAGCAGTGTACCCAGGGGAAACTGAGGCACTATACTTATATTCCCACAGCATGAGAAAGCAGGGGCACAGTCTAGCAACCTGTTGGGGACCCAAGACACAGGATGAAGGCAGCTGCTCCCCAAACTCTTCCCATCGGCGGAGAAGGGGTGCGGGGTGGCAGTTTCATGTCAAATTCCAGCCCTTTGGGAGGCTGAGGCAGGAAGACTGCAAGATGGAGCTCAGCTTGGGCGACTAAAAGACTTACTATGCCTCTGTCCCAAAACATAGATTAAAAAAGGGCGGGGATGCAGCTCAGGGTGAAGGTGCTGGATTCAGTCCCCAATGCTATAAAATCAAACAGACAAAAACAAACAAAAAAACCCCAGATTTGTCCCAGGTATGAGAGTCTGCGATCTCTGCTGAGCGCCAGCAAAGCTTTTTCTTTTTCCTCTTCTTTTTTTCTTTTTCTGTCTCTGTCTATCTGTCTTTCTCTCTCACTTGGCTTTGCCCCTCCTCCCCTTTTGCTGCTGTTATTGCCAAACTCTGGCTTGGACCTTCACGTGTGAGCCAAGTTTTAAACATCTTACTTTGACAGGATGCTGCCAAGTTGCCCAAGGTGGCTTCAAGCTTGCGATCCTCCTGCCTCAGGCTCCTGGTAGCTCCGCTACAGGCCTTCCTCCGGTGACTCGGGGCCAGCCACGCACTGCCCCGGCTCGGCCTGCTCCTGGCCCCACTCGGGCACATTACGGCGCCTCTGCTCCGGCTCCCACCCTGCACGTGGAGATGACCCTAAACAGCCCGCCTTGCACTGCAGCGCTTCCGGGAGAATCTGGCCCCCAGACACAGCCGCGTGAAAGCCACAATCCTTTGTTTTGTTTGGTGCTGGAGACTGAACCAGGGCTTCACACCTGCTATGTGCGACTTTGGTCGTATGTTGTCACCATCAGAATGACTGCTCTTCCCGTCTGCTGTGCACTGGGAGTGGGGACCCTCTAGGGCTCTGTTACAGCTATACACCCCGGGAAGGAAGGGGGAGGGACTGGAGCCCCCACCGCTTCGTCCCTCCAGGGCCTGAGGGTGGAAGACCCCGGCGAGCCTCCAGGTCCTCGGCTGCCATCGCAGGTCCTCTGGCGCCACCTGGTGGTATGAGATTATATTGCACCGCTGAGCCACCTGCCCGCTGGGCTTCCGGGGAATGCGGGCCCACGGTGGGGACCCTCAAGGTTGGTGTGGAGGGTGGGAACTAGGAAACGGGGACAGCAGTTCCCAAAAATGCCAGAAACGGTGCCACTCCCATGGACTCAAGCCAGATAGCCGGCACCCAGATGGAGGCGTCTGCCCCAGGCCCTCAGGCCTTGGAGCCGCAGATCCAGGGGTACCCCCACTTTGGGAGGCCTGAGGCCCCCTGTGAAGAGGATATGGTCACTGGCCAGCTAGTGGCTGGAGGAGTCCAGGGCCTCAGAGGTCAGAGACCCAGGCTGGGTCTGAGCTGAGGGGAGCAGCACTCTGGGCTGAACCCCCAACCCTGCTTTTTATTCTTTGAGACAGAATCCAAGTTGTCCGGCAAACCTTCGATCTTCCTGCCTCAGTCTCCCGGAATGCTGGGATTTCAGGCACAGGTCTGGTGGCTGCTTGCCCTGTGTTCTTTACCCAGGCCTCCTGTGTCCTAGCCTCAGCTCCAGGCCCTTCGTGAAGAGCATCTCAGTTAATCCTTCTGGCTACCCTGAGACAAGCACTGTCTTATTCCCACTTGACAGATGAGGAAACTGAGGCAGAGAGACAGCATGGTGGAGGTGGATTTGAACCCAGGCAGTATGACTCCAGCTTTTCCTCAGACTGGGAAGTGTCCTGCCAGGCCTACAGGATGGGGGTCCATTTCCATCTTCCCCCATCATCACCATCTCCAGGGCCCATGCAATGTGGCCCTGAGTTCCGCAGACAGTCAGCTGGGGGAGGGAGGGGACCCCAGATGTGGCAGAGACCCCCAATTCCTGAGGGCACCTCCGCTTTGCCTCCGGGGCCAGAACCTCAGGATTTCCTCTGGGCTTCTGCGTCCCTGTCTCTCCTGACCCAACCTCCCTAACTGCCCACTCTCAGGAGGTGGCACCTGTAACCCCCCAAGGGGCTCAACCAGTTCCTCCACTGCCCCTGCTCCCCCCAGGCGACAGGAAAAGCAGCACATAGAGCAGTTGTGCCCCAAACCTGAGTGTGACCCAGGGGTCCTGGCTGCAGAGGGATCGTGGGACCAACTGCTCAGGAACAGCAGGTGCTGTCAAAGTCTGCGCTCAGCCAGAAACTTCTAGAAGGCAAGGAGAGATGGCACCGCCCCAGCCTCCAGCTCTGCTTCCTGCCAGGATGTGGGGTCACCAGAAAGCACCCAGCCACCTGTGTAGATCTGAACTAAGGCTGAATCCCAATTCATATTTACTATTCGCAGCATCTTCAGATGTGAGGTCCCAGTCCAGGGATCTCTTTGTTCACCTGTAAAATGGGCCCAGCTGACAACACCTGTGTCGGGGGAGTTGACTGAGACCCACATGACAACAGCTACTGAGGAGCAAGCAGGCATCAGGGTTCAAAATTGCAATCTGGGCTTTTCTTTTTTTTTTTTTTTAATTTTATTTATTTATGTGTGTGTGTGTGTGTGTGTGTGTGTGTGTGTGTGTGTGGCCAGCTCAGCCCACCAGGGGGCGGGGCTGGCTGGCATGTGGTGCTGGGGGATTGAACCGCGGTCCCTGTGCTTTGCTTAGCTTAGCTTGTTCCAAGTAGGTGCTTTAGACCACTGAGCCATCTCACCAGCCCAATCTGGGCTTTTCATCATTGGTCAGCACTAGGGAAAGGCCGAGGTGAGGGTGGCACTGGATGCGGTGGTGGTCCCTGTAACCCCAGCACTCTGGGAGACTAAGGTAGGAGGGCTACCTGTCTGTCTGGGCCCTCCTGAGCGATTTGAAGGAGGATGGTGCGGGGAGGTAGCTGAATCCCAAGGCCTGGGTTCAGTCCCAGTACCGGAAAGGAAGTGCCAGTGAAGACTGAGAAAGGCAGGGCGAGCAGCAGCAGCCTCAGCCGGCAGGGTTGGAGCTCCCAGAGCCCGGCCCACTGCATCCGGCGGCCAAGAGAGACTTCCTCTAGAGGGAGCTGAGCACAGCCGGCACCGGCGGCGGGCACCTCTAGGATCTGAGCGGCTACGCGGGTCCCTTGCGAGGGGCGGCAGTGGCCGCCTGCACTCGGGAATGTTCTGACGGAGGCCAGTTCCGGGAAGCCCGCCCGAAGCACCTACCTGTGGAGCTTAGACCTGGGCCCCGCTGAACCACCCCACTGGCTGGAGCACAGACAGGTCAGTGGCAGAGCCCCCCAATCCCACAGCCCCATAGCCTGGCCTGGAGGGCAAGAGCCCCCAAGCCAGTGGGGAGAGGGCCTGGAGTTTAGGGCTTGCCTGGGCAAGTTGTGACGGGAGCCCCTTGAGACAGCGTCCCCTCTGCCCTGCCCTGGATGCCAGGGGACCAGTCCTTAAGAATGTGGGGGGACAGGAGCAGAGGTCAAAGCCAAGGTCAAGGGCTGGGGCTGGGGTGCAGCTCCGAGGCAGCTGTGGAGTGCCCGGGTCCCAGGAAGTGGGGACAGAATGGAAAGCAGGGCTTGAAGGCCACTGGCTTGAGGAGACGCTCCAAGCGAGCCCCGAGGAGTGGGGGTGCCTGCAGCATCTTAGGGCCCTCTGCTCTGGGCAGGCCAGGGAGGCCGGGGAGGCGGGAGGGCGCAGCACTATGGAGGGTGCCGGGCACGGGTGAAGGAGGTGAGGACAGTCTGGCCTGCCCTGGCCTTCCATCCAGGAAGACAGAGTACACTGGGGACAGCTCCTGCCAATGGGAGGCTGGGGTCGTGGGACCAGGCTGGACGGCAGGGCCCTCAACAAGGACCATGGGGCCGGGAGATGGCTCAGTGGAATAAGCGCTTCCCTGGCAAGAGCAAGGGCCTGAGTTCAATCCTTGGCTCTGCCAAAAAACAAACAAACAAACAAACAAAAACAAGGACCAGAAGGGCTGGGTCGAACTGGTGATGAAGGCAGCCGGGGAAGAAATGGGGCTCCGGAAGGGGCACAAACTGAAAGTGAAAGGCAGACATCAGGAAATGATTGAGCGAGATGGCAGAGGCCAGGGCGGGTGGGGGACTGGGACAGTGGCCAGCCGGGCAGGCGAGCAGGTATGTGGCAGGGCAGCAGCAGAAGGCACCTTATGAAGGCCCTGGGGTGGGAAGGCCCTGGGGTATGGGCTTGAGGGTGCGAGACTACACCCCCCCCCCCCCGAGGCTGCCTGCAGGCCTTCGGGCCCTGGCACGTGCCTCTTTCCGGGTGCCTCTGTGAGTGGGCGTGCTGGGACTTTACTAGCGCGCCAGTTCCACCTTCCACACCTAGGTGTGCTGGTGCAAGCCTGTCATTCTGGCATGGCAGAGGCTGAGGCAGGAGGACCACTGGTCTGCGAGTCCAACACATGGCTGGACTAGGTATAGAGACCTTGTCTCAAAAGACAGTGTTGAGCATGGTGGTGCACACGGTTAGCCCCAGTACCCACAATCCTAGCATTCCAGAGGCTGAGGCAGGAGGATCACGAATCTGAGGCCAATTTAGGGTACATAACACAATCTTATCTCCAAAAACCTGGAGAACTGCAGACCCTCAGCAGGGGATTGCAGGACAGCAGCTCTGCTCCAGCCAGCTGCCAGCCCAAGGGAAATGGCCTTGATTGCTGTCGTGGATGAAGGGTGGAGCTCCAGGCCTGGGTACCAGGTGCACCCAGGAGGGCCGGGAGCAATGGGCAATGCGCCACGGAGCCAAGGACACGGCCGGGCCGCGCTGCACCTTCTGGTTACGGGGCTACTTCGGACAGGGCTGACTCCAGTCTGTCTCCTGTTGCTTTGCTGTTGGGACCCACAGGACACAGTGGCGGCTCTCTGAGAGAAGGGCCCCCTCCTGTGCTAAGCCGAGGCAACTTTCCTAGGGACCCACCCCGTGGCCCCAGTTCATCTCTATCAGGTTCTTTTCTGCCCCACCCACAGGCTGACACTGTCACCCACTAAGACCTGAACGATGGCATCTGACCAAGGCCCAGGTCCCCCTGACGACGAGGGGTGCAGTGAGGCCTCCTCACTGTCTGAAAAGGGTAAGCAAAGGGTAAGCGGCTCCCTGCCCCGCCCTGCCCTCCCTCTGCACCCAGGCTCTGGCCTCCCTTTGTGCCTGCGGGCCTGGGAGGAGGCAGAAGGCGAAAGCTGCTGTCTCCACCCCTTCACCCGTCTTCTGCTGGGTTCTGCCAGGTTGGGAGGAGCGGAGCTGGGAGGAGGGCAGGGCCAAGGGCGGGGTGCAGAGGAAGACGGGAAGGAGATGCCTCCCAGCCTGGGAGGAAGTAAGCTGCTGTCACCCGAAGGTCCCCGGAACAGGGGCGCCATTATTGTGACCTGGGAGGGAGTGAGGCTGCTACCCTCTGCCCTTCAGGAGCGCCCAGAGACCCAACTCAGACCCCTGCAGGCTCTCTCTGCCCTGGCCTCGGGCTTCCTGCCGCCAGTCTGTCCCCAGAGAGTCTCGCCCAGCCCGAGGCTACAGCTCCACAGTTTGTCTCCCCTAAGGGCTGGTGGCCTGATCACCTGGGCTGGTCCAGCCGGGTGACCTTATACCAGGCCCAGCCACCCTGTGCCGAGGAATATCCCTCAATCACCAGATGTCGGCACTGGGACGTTCTGCCCATGGCTGGGGTGGCAGTGCCCTGGAGAGCGGGCACACTTCACTCACACAGCCCTGGCTGCTGGGGTCTGGCCCTCCCTCACTGATCCCTGGCTTTGACCTCCAGAGCAGCAGGTGGCCCGGGACACCGAGGAGGTTTTCCGAAGTTACGTGTACTACCGCCACCAGCAGGAGCAGCAGCAGCAGCAACAGGAACAGGAGGGCGAGGGGGCAGCTGTGTCCACTGACCCCGAGATGGACACTTTGCCCCTAGATCCAAGCAGGTGAGCGTCAGCCTGACCCACAGCAGCAGCCATGGGGAGAGAGGCTCACGTGGGGTCCTTGGCCCTGGGGCCAGCACTGACATCAGAGGACGCTGTTGGGAACATCCCAGGAGGGGTGCACAGGCAGGCCCCTTGGGCACACCTCAGCCTCCCCTGCCAGCTGCCCACCCACTGTCTCCCGGCCCAGCACCCTGGCCCAGGTGGGTCGGCAGCTGTCCGTCATCGGAGACGACATCAACCGGCGCTACAACTCTGAGTTCCAGAGCCTGCTGCAGCAGCTACAGCCCACAGCAGACAACGCCTATGACCTGTTCCTCAAGATTGCCTCCAGGTACCCACCTGTGGCCTAGCCTGGCATGCCCCTCCATGGGACGTGCTCCCACACTCGCCCTCCTCTGTCCGGATGGGTTTCTGCTGAGACTGCCAAAAGGTACAGCCTCGGCGCTGTCATCTGGGCAGAGACCAGGTACCTGGTGCCTACCCCCACCTGCCACCTGCTGCTGGGCCCCACTGGCCTTAGGTGAAGCTCGTGGACCCACTAGGCAGACACATCTCCACCCGCATGAGGCCATCAAGAGTCAGGGCAGGTGGGCAGGCGGTAGAGAGGGAGGCCATGGGTGATAGACTTAGACCCTGCTCCATGCTGGAATGCACAGTCTGTGCCCTGGGGTCCCCGCACTGCCTGACTTGGGGGGCTGTCCTAATCTCTTCTGTCCTTTTCTTCTGCTGTCTCTCGGGCTGCCAGGCCAGCATCGACACCCACAGGTAATATCCCTGCTTCCTTTGCCCTCTCTGCCCTTCCGTCTGCAGCCTTTGGGCCACACCTCTGCAGCGGCACCCACTGTGTTTGCCCCTGGAGCTTTTTCTTCTTCCACAGAGCCCCTAGCTCTTCCCAAGCTGAGGCCAGGCCATGGCAGCTTCTGCAGCCGACTCACAACCCTGCCATTCGGTCTTCCAATGGGGGGTCAGGGGACTCAGGGCCCAGGGGGAGTCCATAGAAGACCCCCAGGACTCTCTGCCGACTTCCTGGGTGCTCTGCTTGCAGTCTGTTTAAGAGCGGCATCAACTGGGGCCGTGTGGCGGCTCTGCTGGCCTTTGGCTATCGCCTGGCTCTGCACGTCTACCGGCAAGGTCTGTCTGGCTTCCTGGGCAAGGTGACCAGGCTGGTGATTAACTGCATGCTGCACTACTGCATCGTCCACTGGATCGCCAAGGAGGGTGGCTGGGTGAGTGGCCGTGTCCTTGCAGCTGGGGCTACCCTGGTCCCCAGGTTGCAGGCCCCCTTATGACACCCTATCTCTCTTGACAGGAAAAAGCCGTTAGGTGGGTTAATGACCCCATCCTGATCGTGGGGGCAATCCTTGGCCTGGTTCTGGTGGGAGAATATGTGGTACGAAGATTCTTCAAGTCATCCTGACCCGTGGGGGCCCTCTACGGCCTCAGCTTAGACACCTGCCTGCATTTCAACCCAGACTCCTCCCTCAACTCCCCCCTGCAGGAGTTCCCCCTACCCCGAGTACAGAAGCTTTAGCAAATGAGCACCCCAGCATCAGGGGGCCCTGCCTGGGGGTCATTCAAGCTGCATAAAAGCCCCAACTTTGCATGGTGCTAGCAGCCCCTCTCCGGCCTCCATCCTGCCGGAGGGGGGTCTGTAACTTCCTTCCCCAGCTGTCCTGGAACCCCCTGACCTTCCTTCCTCAGCTGCCTCACCTGCTGAGAGGAGGAAGAGATGCCCAGACTCAGCATAGCTCCTGGGGCAGGCTGGCTGGGATGGGGGTCCAAAGTCCTGCTCCCCACCCCATACTGCCTTTGTGGCTGGACTCTCAGGGATTCTGAGCCAGGGTCAGGGCTGGGGTCAGGGTCAGGGTCAGGGTCAGAGCAGTCTGTAGAGTCCATCAAGACCTCCCAGCCTGGCTCCCTGTCCTCGTCCTCCCCTCCCCCCCCAAAAAAAAAAAAAAAAAAAACTGACTCCCAGTCACTGTATGACCTATGGTGCACAGTGAGGACCTCACCCCATTCCCCAGGGGCCTTTCTAACGGGCTTCCTGAGGCCTCTTTTTGACCCAATTCCAACACAGGGGCTTGGGATGGGGGCTCACCTGGAGATGTCTTGGTGGGAGGGGCCCCAGGAGCTGGGTTGTCACTCCTGGCCTGGGTACTGTAATCCGTGGATATAGCTGGGGAAACCGTGAATACTTGAGCTCCACCCCACCCCACCCACGCTCCATGCTCCTGGCCTGCCGAGGCCCTCTTGGTGGTGGGTGTGAGGAGGGCAGTGGAGGCCTGGGGGGCTTGGAGAGAAGTCCTTGATAAAGCCAAATGCAGGGAGAGGTTTTAGGTGGTGGTGCCTGCTGGCGAGCCTCTGATGGTGTTTGCAAATAAAGCATGCAATGCCCCTACTCCCGCCTGGCATGTTTGTACCCTCTGGTCCCTCTCTCCCCTGGGCTGGCCTGCTGGCTGGCACCTAGCTTGTCAGCAAACTCTCACCCTGGGCCCTCAATCTCCTGAGGAGCCCTGGAAGACCTTGGCCTCTTCTCCACGCCCTTCCCTCATTTCCATGGGGATCCAGGCAGCTTCCCACCCCTTCAGGAAGTCGGGGATCCCTTTGGCTGCTAGGAACAGCAGCATAAGTCAGAGGACCGCCCCTCCCCCCGGGCCACCTCATGCCTGGCCTGGATTCTTCCTCCCCAGGGCTGCCGCCCACGCTGGCCCAAGGACTTCTCCCCCACACTTAACTCTGCCTGGGACACAATGTCCCAGCTCCCCCTTCCTGATGTCCCCACAGCTACACACAATCACATAGGGCTTTTTCCATTCTAGTTCGCCGCTGCAAGGGAGTCCCTGTGGAGCCACAGCCAGGGGGGATAAAAATAACAAGCATGCGGGCGTTGAAATGTTCCCAGATCTACCTCTCTCCAGGCCTGGGCCCCAGCTGTGTTTCTGATGCCCCTCCGAAGTCACATCAAAGTCCCCGCGCTTGTCTCTGCCCGGGCTGTGGCGGTGCAGAAAGGCAGGGTGCGATTAGGAGAGGATGCTGGAGGACCCTGCAACGTGCAAGAAAAGCTCAAAGATACTATCTACCCCGGCGTGTGCCAGGCTTGAGGATAAAACTATTTTCGCAGCCCAGGCGCTAGGCGTGGTGCGCGGACGTGAGCGTGCGTGCCTGTGTTGGTACAAGGAGCCAGACAACGGGGGCCTCGCCCGAAAAGGTCAGCTAGCTAGGCCTCGCCACCTGCAGACTGGCCCAAGGTCTTGGGTGCAGGCAGCAGCGGGTGCGTGTGTGCAGCTGGTTTCACTTAAGGCAGTTTGGGGGATAGGCTCCTGGGTCGCCAGCAAGACCGGAAGAGACCCGGCTGCCCAGGTCAAAGATGGCGCCACTGCTTCAAACGCGCTGACGCGCCCTTCTGTGGGCGGGGCCTCCGGGCCCCCGTGGGAGTAGAGGACGGCTGCACCGAGCGTTGAGCGCAGAGCGCTTCCTTTCGGGTCGCTAGAAAGTTGGATCTGCAAAGCGGAGATGTGGTCTCTGCCCCTCTGAGGAAGATGTTGGCATGTTATTCTACACATCTTTTTTTTTTTTCCCCCAGTATTTGGAGAGTGAACCCAGGGTCTTCCTATTGAGCTACATCCCCAACCCTTTTAGTTTTTTTTGTTGTTGTTGTTTTGTTTTTTAATTTTATTTATTTGTGTGTGTGTGTGTGTGTGTGTGTGTGTGTGTGTGGCCAGCTCAGCCCACCAGGGGGCGGGGCTGGTTGGCATGTGGGGCTGGGGGATTGAACCATGGTCCCTGTGCTTTGCTAAGCTTGTTCTAAGTAGGTGCTTTAGACCACTGAGCCATCTCACCAGCCCAAATTCAACTTTATTTTTATTTATTTTTTTTTTTATTTTTTCGGTATAGGGAATTGAACTCAGGACCTCGTGCTTGCTAGGCAAGTGCTTATTCTACTGAGCTATCTCTCTGGTCCTCCCTTTTAGTTTTTTAAAATAATTTTTACTTCTTCAAATTTACTTATTTTTGAGGCAGGGCCTCGCTGGATAGCCCAGGTTGACCTTGAACTCACTATGTAGTCCAACTGCCTTCAAATCCTCTCTCCTCATCCTGCTCGGTGCTGGGATTACTGGCCTGAGCCACGGCATCGGGCTCCGCAGCCCTTCTCATTTTGAGGCGGGGGTCTCACTAGACTGCCAGGATGCCCTGACGGGGCGCGAACCTGCCATCCTCCTGCCTCGGCTTCCCAGGTGTGCTTTCCTGGGTTGCCAAAGCCAGGGGGGTTGAGAAGCAGGGAGTCAAGCGGAAGCCGCGGGAAGCGGGCTGCGCTGAAAATGTGGCTGTGCAGTTCGCGGCGCAAACAGCCGCCTTCCCCGCGGCCTTGGTCTCCTGCGCCTCGGGGACCCTGCTGCCTCACTTTCAAGCATTTGATTTACCGCGCCAAAGAAAGCTTATTTTCGGTCACTGGGCATCCACTCAAACCCTGTACTTCATAAAAAGGCATGAAAAATTCCATTCTTCACCTAAAAGCATTCAACAGGTTATTTGAACAAGTTTCTATGACCAAACTATTAGGCTAGCATTTCATAAATTAAAATGATCCACTAGTTCATTAAAATTAATGAAGACACAGCATCCTGTTCCGGTTGCATGCACTTTAAATGTAGGGACCTCTTACTGGGCGTGGTGGGGCACGCCTGTAATCCAGCACTTGGGAGGCTGAGGCAGGAGGACTGCAAGGACTGCATGAGTTTGAGGCCAGGCTGGGCTACATGGGTAGACTCTGTCTCAAAAAAAAAAAAAAAAAAAAAAAGAGTGAGGCCTCTGATTCCAGACACTTGGAAACTGCAGATTCAGTTCAGTCTGATTCAATCTGAGGCGAACAAATGGTCCCCATTCTGCATGTGTGTGTGTGTGCCTGTGACTCGGGATGCCGGCCCTGCACACTCCGGCCATCTGGAGGCTGTCCTCCAGCTGCCCCCTTGCCCCTGACCTGTGATTCCACCTACAGCCATGGCAGCTTCTCCGGTTTATTTCCTGAGGACCTTGGGGTCCAGGAGAGGGTTAAGCACACCTGTAACCCAACACTCTGGAGGCTGAGACAGGAGGACTTCGAGTTAAATCCCAGTCTGGACAGTTTAGTGGCTTAGCTGGACCCTGTCTCAAAAAAAAAAAGAGGGTGGGGTGTGGCTCAGTGTGAAGGCTCTGGGTTCAAGTGCTAGTACACACAAGAACACAGCAACTATAGAGGCTGTGATCTGGCTGACAGCCAAGTGGTGGCCCGTGAAGGTCTGGGCAGTCACTGCATGGCCATCAGACCCTGAGCTTAGACGCCACCTGGGTGACCCAGCCAGGAGCAGCCCCTCTCTGGCCTGGTGCGGGGAGAAGCTCAGCAGGGACCGGGCTGTCCAGCACCCCCGGGCCGTGCATCCCCCTTGGTCCCTTCTGGGGGGCACAGCTATTCCTGGGTGCCCCTGCACAAAGTGGGGTTCCTGAGTCACCCACAGCTCCACCTCCGTGGCTGAGTGCTGCCCCCAGCACCAGGGTTGGACCCAGAGCCTTGGTGCTGGCCCTGTCCCTGCTCCTTTATTTATGTGAAGGTCCAAAAGCTCGTAATTGTATTTTTGTTCCTAGTGGAGGCTTGCAGCACAGAACAGCCACCTTCACGGGGAGTTAGCACATGTGCGTAACACACCTCAGTTGGCCCACTTTTTGGCCAGCACCAGATTCATTTATGCATCTTAATCTGCAGCACTATTTAATTTTATTTCATTTCTTTGTTTTTTTAAAGACAGGGTCAGGCCAGGGAGATGGCTCAGCAGTATAGGTGCCTGCTTAGCAAGCGCAAGGTGCCAAGCCCCATCCCTAGTACCGTAAAATAAAAAAGGCGGGGTTTCACTATGTAGCCCAGGCTGGCCTCGCACTTGTGATGATCCTCCTGCCTGGGCCTCCCGCGTGCTGCAATCACAGGAATGGACCCCAGGGGCGCTGCCACACCTGCCCTCCCAGCCTTTATTTTTAATGTTTTTTCCCCCCTCGACAGGATCTCTCTAAATTCCCCAGGACTCAAACACGAGATTCTCCTGCCTCTGCCTCCCACAGCGCCAGCGTACCAGTGTGCCCCACCACACCTAGTTATTTTTTGAGATGAAAATCTTGCTATTTTGCCCAGGCTGATCTTGAACTACTGAGCTCAAGTGATCCTCTGGCCTCAGCCTCTTGCTTCGGCGCTGGAGATGAAACCCAGAGCCCTGCTTGAGCTACATCCCAGCCAGGGATGACCTCTGTTCCACATCTGGTGAGGGTCCCTTCTCCCATCTCATCATTGCCACCACCAAACTGGTGTCACAAACAGCATCTGTGGGGGCCAGGAGATAGCTCAGCAGAATAAGTGCTTGAGGCCCTGAGTTCAATCCTCAGTACCACACACACACAAAAAAAAAAACAGCATCTATGTCAGGACACAGAGACCTGGGGAAAGCTGGCCATGGGCACACGCTTATCTCAGCACCGGTAAGCTGAGGCAGGAGGACTGCTGTGAGTTTCAGGCCAGCCTGGGCTACACAGTGAGACCCTGCTTCAAATCAACCAAACAAAACCAAACCTCTGCACTCCTGCACCTCCCCAAGAGCACCTGTGCACCCCAGGGATGCAGCTGCCAAGGCAGCCGGGGTTCGGTGGGTTGGGTGCGTGATGCGTCGGGAAGCAGGGGCTGCGAGGTCTGAAGTTTGCCCAGCCTGACCCCCCACCTCCGGGACCTGGAGACCTCCAAGGAGGCAGGAGGGACACAAACTCATGCTCAGACCAGCACTCGAGGCCTTCTCTATCTTACAATTTTTTTTTTTTCGGCACTGGGGACCGAACGCAGGGCCTTAGCGCTGACCTGGAAACCTTATTTTTTTGGTACCTAGATGGAACTCCTCTGGACCTCGTGCTTGCCAGAAAGGTGGTTGTGCCAGGGAGCTATCTCGCAGACCCCTCCAACCCTTTTTTATTGTGAGGCAGGGTCTCACTCAATTGCCCAGATGGTCAGGCATGGTGAGGCAGACCTGGAATCCCAGCACTCGGGAGGCTGAGGCAGGAGGGTTGCTGTGAGTTTGAGTCCAGCCTGGGTTACATAGTGAGTTCAAGACTAGCCTGAACTACATCGTGAGACCCTGTCTCAAACCCTCCTCCCCAAACCCCCAGAAGAAAAAAAAAAAGACAAAGTCGGTGGAATTCAAACCTCCTTCCCATCTTCCTGCCTCAGCCTCCTGCAGCAGCACTGCAGGCCTGCGCCTCCACGCCAAAGCTCTGCTCTGTTTTGCTTTGTTTGTTCTGACCTTGAGCCAGTGTGATGGATTCCTGTGGTCTTAGCGCCTGAGAGGCTGAGGCAGGAGGATCTGAAATTCAAGCCAA